CTGCATACTTGATAATACTTTTACAATCATTAATAATAACTTCTGTTCAGGCTTTGTTCACACAAATCTGAAGAATTTGTGTTGGTGTTGTGTTGGTTAAGGTATGTCGAGAAGCTTTTATTCGACTTCCATGAGTTGTAACAGAGCTTATTCGATCAATTTTTTTTTTATTATTCAGCGTTATTGGACATTTTTGCTTCCTTAAACAGCGATGATGTATACGCTGGATTATCATTATCATGTGAAGTAAAGTTTAAATTAGACACTATATTATACATTTATCAAACGATTATTCAACTGCAAGAACATTACCCTGAAAATAAAGAACGGTAGCGACAAGACAGAGTAGTCTTTTCTCATTAATGATTGTTTTCATTATTTCTGACGAAGCACGCAACCACACACAACACAGATCTAGATTTTTTTTTTCAAACATATATATGTCCGTTGCATGGGTTTTGAACCATGCACCTGCCGATCACCAGTCGCTTGCCTTGCCATCTGAGCTATCCTAGAATACATCATATGGGCTGCTCAATATTCAATAAAAGCTTGCTTGAAACTGAATATCACTCCCTATCGTCCCAGTGGGAAACATTAATTTTCAAAAATCAAAAATCAAAAATTTGTTAGAACTAAATATTAATAAATGCAATTCTATATCGTTCACAAGAAAGCACGCTGTAATACACAACACAATTACTCTTGGTCAGAAAACAATCCAAAGATCCTATCAAGTCAGAGACTTAGGTGTTATCCTCGACACCAAGTTAACTTTTGTTGATCACTTCAATAACATTATCTACAAAGCAAGCACATGCTTGGGTTCATTAAAAGATTTAGTTTGCACTTCAATGATCCCTACACAATCAAAACACTTTACGTAGCAATATTGTAGCATAGTTTGGGCTCCAAATCATGATACACATGTAAACCGCATTGAATCAGTTCAAGAGCAGTTCTTGTTGTTTGCTCTAAGAAAGTTGGGTTGGACGAGTTTTCTACTTCCATCTTATGAATCGCGTTGTATGCTAATTAATTTAAATGAGCTCAAAAAGCGAAGCGAGTTCACAATGATTGCTTTTATAAACAATGTGATTTCGCAAAGAGTTAACAGCCCAGAGATTTTGGAAAACATCAATTTTAATGCTCCCACTCGCTCACTGCGGAATAGAAATTTGTATAGCATCAACAATCAAAGAACAGACTATGCCAAAAACAGCCCACTGAATAGAATGATGTCTTGCTGTAATACATACTGTGAATATATTGACATAACAATGAATAAAAGTACGCTTAAAAAAACTTAAATAATAAAATATAAATGTTATGCAAGTACTTGAAGTAAAATGGTAACAATTAGCGTTTAAGTAAAATTGTAAAACGGTCTACACTGATTGACGACAAACAAATAAATAAATAAATAAATAAATTCATTCATCGTTGTTTTATATGAGACCAATTCTACCGTTTCACCTCTCCAATTTCCAAGGAAAGGATGCTGGATTATCTAGCTAAATCAATAAATTTGTTGTCGTGAGTGATGTGATCGATGATTACGATTTAGAACACAAGTAAAAAAAAGGGTTGAGCTTGCGATTGAACTCGCGAACTTCAACTTGGAAAGCGGAAGCGGTATCCACTACTCTACTGATTTCGTCTTGTTCTTAGACTGAACCAGTGTTGTGGAAAAATTAATCTAATACGTCGTTTATAAAGCATTTACAAAGCATGCTATTCAAACATGGACGCCTAGTAGTATAAGAGTTATTTTGCTGACTGTATTCACCTTTATACAGCAATATTGTAAACCAAGACAATGAAATCTAATAATGGAGTTGGTAAACATTTTTTTTTTTTTTCCTTTGGTTTGTTTTTTCCGTCGATCTTGTTTTCCGTGCTGAGCACCAATGCTACTGACGTGCAAGGAAGGCAGCTCCCACACCTGGACCCTACCTATCGACCCATCAACTCATGAACCGGGGACCAACGGCTTTACTTCCCATCCGAAGGAAGGCGTGATCAGAGATGTTATGCCTCAGAACATCCCGGCGGCGCCGACTGGGATTGAACCCAGGCCTGCTGGGTTGAGAGGTAATCACGCTTACCACTACACCACCGGCGGAAAACATTTATAAGACGTCTAATAAAACATTTTATTAAATCAATTGCAAACAGTCGAATTAAAGCGTCAATGTATGTGCAAATTACACTTATTTGTTATTAGATCAAACTTCTGAATCTGAATCAAGAAGAAAGTCAACGTTTATAAAGCTTTTAATAAGTAACTTAATCATATCAGAAAAAAACAGCGGAATAAAGGCGCATCTGTCGATCTCAACGAGCTTTTTTCAGCACGTAATTCGACATACTCTTTTATTCAGCATTGTATATTGTTATACAGCAATTATTCAATATGTATGCTAATTTGTGACTTTGAATTGTTTGTTGAGAAGCTCGTTTAAAACATTTTCCAAACGAATCTATCTGAAAATCCAGTTAAACCTCAGTTGCACTCTAAAGCATAGGTTTCGGTCACACTCCAAAATAAATTTCAATCAAACTTGTTACCCATCGTGGAATAAAAAAAAACTGCAATCTAACAAGACAAACGATCACTTGAAACCAATTTCGTTGCCGGTTCTGCATTTTTCATCCTCTATTTCGAAAATATATGTACTTTGCTTCTGCCGAGAACCACCACCGCCTGTCTTGCATTGGCGCTGCAGAGAAAGACAATTTCCAGATTGAAAAAAAAAATGAAAACTTCCTATATAAATATAGGAAATACGGCTCATCCCGGACCGCAAAACGCAAGCTCTGCAGCAGGAAAGTGTCAAGTGGTAGGTTAGGTGCAGGAAAATGAGGGCGAGAAAAGTTTTTAAATCTCCGCGTATGAAACGTGTGAATATGAACAGACATGTAGGTATATGAACACACACGTTGCACGCTTCGTAATGTGTGCTCTTCTCGGCTGACAATGGATGACAGGAAGCCAGAAATGGCTTCGCGGAAATGGGATTTTTTATGCTCAAATTGATGATTTATGACTGGAACGTTGCTCTGGAGAGCTTAAAGTTGCTTACGTATCTACACATAAGGAAAGCGAAGCACGTGTTTGACAGGAATTGTATGCTTTGTTGCGTGTTCAATACGGCGAGGACCAGTCCAAATTTGGCTTGCTAAATACTTCAAATTTAATACTTAGCTTAGACTGACTGCACATCATAATCCGTGACTGTGCAACTTTCAATGACTTCAAATGTTTAAGGATCAATAACAGAGCCGGCCACGTCCTTGCAATCAGGTGGGAATGGGAATGGATGTGATCTTTGCTGAATTAGGGACCGAGAATATTACGGGAGAGATATTTTGTTAGAGGGTTATGTTTGTATGATCGGGATTCTCCTTGATAAGCGATGTGATTATAATTTTGATACAATGTGTTGTTACGTTTTTTTTAATAAAACACATTTAAAAAAAATCTGTGTTATAATGTATTACAACATTCTTAGATTTGCCCTGAATACAAGCTGAAAATAGTGAACTATGCATTTAAATTTAACCCTTATGGGTACCCATTTTGATGTTTGAATTGAAATAAGTCATGTACGTGATGTTTATCGCTATGAAGGTTTCTGTCATCTTGTAAAATACTAACACAAACGATCTGGTGAAATTTCAAGAAATGTGGGTGAAGGAGGCGTTAATCAGGGTACCCCTTGAACGGATGACGGAGTACCCCGGTACCCACGCTTTTTTACGAAGCGTAGACAACAATGTTCTGCAAAGTTGTAGGTTTATATAAGAACTGAAAGATGATATGCATGATTTACAGAATGGGCCACCCAAAGTCCCTGGAACAGGTCCCGGAAACAACGGATGAAGTGGCCAATCTTTGATTTCAACAGAAGCAAACGTGCAGCTCATCAGAAATATCAGGAATAGATGAACATGTCATTAGACACCATGCTAATTGACAGTGACAATGGCCACCCAATGTCGTTGGAACAGTTACCGGAAGCCCTGGTGGAAGTAGCCACCCTCTAATTAAAAAAAAACTAGCCATGCGACATTTAAAAATTTTCAGAATTTGATAGACAGGTGACAATGGCTACCCTATGCCCCTGGAACAGGTTCCGGAAGCCCTGGTAGAAGTGACTGATCTCTGATTTCAACAAAAACAAGCGGTGCGGCACATCCAAATTTTCAGAAATCCATGAACAATTCATTATAGACCATGCCAATTGAGAAAAATGACAATGGCCACCCAATGTCCTTGGAACAGGTTCCAGAGGCCGCTGAGGAAAATGTCTTTCTCTAGTTTCAGTAGAAACAATTTTTTTCCTTGATTTGTTTTCCGTCGATCTTGTTTTCCGTGCTGAGCATCAATGCTACCGACGCCAGAGAGGCAGCTCCCACACCTGGACCCTACCTATCGACCCATCAACTCATGAACCAGGGACCAACAGCTTTACTTCCCTTCCGTGTCAACCGTTCATCACTTTATATAATTTAAAACAAAATCTGCCCTTTTTGCTCTGCTCTCAAAATTGTTTTCAGGTATTAGAAATCCTTTGTGAAGCTAAATTTGATTTTTTGTCTCCAGGAGTTCTTGCCCAACCATTTACAACCTACATTCTACTTACATTGCCATGGCGTAATTGGATTTATTATGTCCTTACTGGGATGTTACGCTGGCTCTCAATTTAGTGTTCTTTGAGCACTTCCACAGTTGTTAATTGTGAGTTTTCTAATTGGGATTCCTAGACCAAACCGGGAATCGAACTCAGCCACCTCCAGCATGGTCTTGCTTTATAGCTGCACCTTTAATGACTGAGGAAAGGGATGGGAGAGGATATATTGCTTCCAAAAATCTCTCGTTGGTGGCCCTAATTCTACTCAATATTCAACTCGACTTGGCCCATACACAAACCGGCGGTGGCAAAAGCATTACGAGCTAATCTCTATTTTTATGTTTTCCCCCCTCACTGTTTCAGACACCGGAGGACTGCTCAGCCGGATCCAGCTGCATCCCGACCACAATCTCGTGGGAAGGCACCGCCGACATCCAATCCGGTGACGTGTTGATTGTGGAGATTGACGATAAGCACTTGATTCCATCCAATTATAACAAATCTGCAGAAAGGTAAGTTTGCTATAGCTACCACGAGCAACAGAGTAAATGAAAATGAGCTTCCATTACCAGGGGTTTTTTTTTTTAGTTGTGAATTTTGATCATTCATTTTGCATGATAACAATATGTGAGGAGACTCGCATTGTCATTAATCTTGTGTAGACGGCTGGAAAACTGTTGGACATTTTGCCAGATTCAGCACTCGAGAATCTAAAAAAAGTTAATGGTGACGGTTATCGCAAAAAAAAAAACTCGTATGCGTGAGAATAATGCTACGTAACCATATTTTCGTGTGCTCATGATCGATGTGACAATGAGTGACTACAAGACAGACATGACAAAGAAGGTTCTGTCACGGTGCTCTTCTGGCCGTTAGTATCTAAAAAAGTTCTTCATTAAAATTGAATACATGTTAATTAAATAGCCACATATTACAAAGTGCTCCATTCACCACAAATCATTAATACCTTGATTTTTAAATCTAACGGTTGCAGAGTAGATTGGCCCACATTTATTTGGGAGAAATGTTCTATCATTTTTTCAACGGGTTAACCCCCAGATTTGTGCCGTTGGGAAAACCACTCTTTGAAAATGTCAGCTCATTCGGATGTAAGACGAGCTGGCGCTTTTGGTTGAAAGCTTATATGGGGATGGCCATATATGGAGAAATGACATTCCTTCACCATTTCGTGCATATAACTGGTTCAGCTAACTCAATTAAGCTCAGGGTTTCAACACATGTAAATAGCTCAAACTATATGGAACAGCTTTGCAGAAGACGAACACGATTATAGCTAGTATTAAAGAGATATTCATTCTTTAATTTATACGTAAATTTTGTTCGTATTGGGCTTCGATCTAATTTTAGGCCTACTAAGCACAACTTGCCCTATGCCTTTATTTTTCGAGTGGACTTTTTTCACAAAATCGAATGTTTCAACTGCAAATGACTTTTAAATTTATTTACCTTTTCGGACGTACCGTAACATTTGCTAAAGAGAAACAAATTGTTGAGATATTGTTAAAAGTCTAACACTGCTTCTTGACCCCAAACTCGGTATACGGATTCTAAATTAGGCCACGCCATTGAATTCACTTCGACCTATCAGATACGGATACGGAAAAATATTTTAAAAAAAATCAAATATCACCAAAGAACAAGATCATGCATGCTTGATTTTCGCAGACAAAACTTACCAGCTGCAAATCTCACCAAACTGTGGTGAGATTGAATTAAGCTGGGCTTAGACAGGGCAAGTCAATTAATCAAGTCAGTTGAATTCAACTGACTTGAACGTGAATTGAACCATGCCATTCAATTGACTTGATCAACTCACTTGAATTGATAAAAGTTGAACCAGGCTCAACTTTTCAAGCCAATTGAATTCAACTGAGTTTATCAAGTGACTTGCCTAGTCTAAACCCAGCTTTAAATCATTTTGGCTTTACATCCGAACGCAACCGAAACTTCCATAACGGCTGGCAGCAGTCTCTTCGTGTCTGCCATCGGTGAAGAGAAAAAAGAAATAGCATTATTCTACCTTCTCTTTCTAAGAAAACGAGGTGCAACGGAATCATTTTTGCGTCGATTCAACGCACAGCTTGATTTTTGCACGTTGTGAATAGTCTCGCAATATCAAAGTAAAGGGTGATACGGTCAAAATTTGGTCAATATCAACTTGACGTATTTCTTTCAATTTTGCATTTAAAAAACCTGAACACCCCTCATTTTGAAGGTGTATGTGTGTAGAATGTTGCTCCTATTTTGATTTTGGAATTCACTCTTCAGTTGTCAAAATGCCGTCCAAGCAAGAAGAGCAGCGTATCAAAATTTTGCTCGCGCATCGCGAAAATCCGAGCTACTCGCACGCAAAGTTGACAAAATCGCTAAAAGTTGCCAAATCAACCGTTAAAAATGTAATTAAAGTGTTTGGGGAACGTTTGTCGACAGCCAGGAAGTCTGGATCGGGGGGAAATCGAAAACCGGAAGCCGCTGAGACGACAAAGAGAGTTGCCGGTAGTTTCAAGCAAAACCCTAACCTCTCTCTCCGAGATGCCACAAATAAGCTAGGTGTATCGTCTACAACCGTGCATCGAGCCAAAAAACGAGCCGGACTATCGACTTACAAGAAGGTAGTGACTCCAAATCGCGATGATAAACAAAATACGACGGCCAAAGCGCGATCCCGGAGGCTGTACACGACGATGCTGATGAAGTTTGACTGCGTGGTAATGGACGACGAAACCTACGTCAAAGCCAACTACAAGCAGCTTCCGGGACAGGAGTTTTATACGGCAAAAGGAAGGGGAAAGGTAGCAGATGTTTTCAAGCACATGAAACTGTCAAAGTTCGCAAAGAAATATCTGGTTTGGCAAGCCATCTGTACCCGTGGCTTGAAAAGCAGCATTTTCATAGCTTCCGGGACTGTCAACCAAGAAATTTACGTGAAAGAGTGTTTGAATAAACGTCTGCTGCCTTTCCTGAAGAAACACGGTTGTTCCGTACTGTTTTGGCCGGATTTGGCATCTTGCCATTACGGTAAAAAGGATATGGAGTGGTACGCCGCCAACAACGTGCAGGTGGTTCCCAAGGACAAGAACCCTCCCAACACGCCAGAGCTCCGCCCAATTGAGAAATACTGGGCTATTGTCAAGCGGAACCTAAAGAAGACCAAAAAACTGCTAAGGGCGAGCAGCAGTTCAAGGCAAACTGGCTTTCTGCGGCGAAGAAGGTGGACAAGGTGGCTGTACAAAATCTGATGGCAGGGGTCAAGCGTAAGGCCCGGCAATTCGGATTTGGAAAAGCGGAAGCCTAAATGAATATTTTTCCTGAATTTTATACTAATTGAACTTGAAAAAGAAATTTAATTTGATTTTTTAAATAAACGATTTCACCGATTTACACGCGTTTTCCCTTGACCAAATTTTGACAGTATCACCCTTTAGCTTGTAAAATCAATGTCAAGCATGATATTTTGCTCCAATATCACGCGTGATATTGAGAGCGTATGAGAGCGAAAAAATATCAATTTGCAAATGATTATACCACACTGAAAATAAAATTCCGTTTATTCTACGAATTTATTCGTTGTTTTCTGCAACTAAATGGATTTGTACATTGTATGAAGCTAGTTTTGTTAGAACTGCCACACTCGTTATCGCTACACCCAACCAGCGAGCCACAAGTGTTGGTTGTGGAAACCGAAAAATGTGGAGTGTGTTAGTGAGGATGGGTAAAAATAACTTCATCATTGGAAGGAATAAATATGACAAAAAACATAAAAAAATATACTTCAGATCGGACTCGACTCATGAACCTTGTGATCGTCAGATCTGCGCTTTAACAATCGCTTTACCTGTGCTAAGAGAAATGGTAAAGCTAAAGGCAAATAAGAAGCACTCATAGAACGGTAATTCGATTTCGCTTGCTTTTTCTGCTGCTTGCATGTATTTTTTTTCTCTAACATAAAACCACCACGACGAGTAATTTGATTTATTGTGGTAGCTTGCATGTATTGGGCAAACCGACAATATTTCTAAAAAAAATATCCTATCTCCAGGGCGTAATATTGACATTGCGCCAAATGACAGGAAAAACGAATGTTTCGTACCATTTATGAAAGATGTGTTGTATGTACGATATTAATGTTTACGAAACGGTTTTCAGAGAAATAACGAAAATACATTTTCAGTGCATAACTCTATCGGATGAAGCTAAAAACTGATTCTTTCGGAGCACTTCTTTTGTTTTTGATAAAAATTGGTGAAATCATTCATGTCACGCGTTTTCATTGGCTTCGTTCGGTAGCTTTTGAACTAAAATGTCTTACCAAAAGCATAATTGACTTGTTAACTCTGAAACCATGTTTTTTTTATGTTTTCTGCTCGATAGACCCATACAAAATGGGTTTTTTTTTTATTATTATTCTTTATTTGAGAGATTTTTAGAAACGAAATGGGCTATTAGGCTAAAGAAGTGCTCTATCGTATTGCAACAAAAAGCAGGCGCTTCGATAAGGTTGACGATTTTATCCGGGACTCCTTTGCGTCTCAGGGCGTCCCACAGATTTTAGTGATTGAATCAGTCGAAAGCTTTTTCTGAGTCAATGAATACCACATAGATGGAATTTTGGTATGCGTTGACCTTCTACAGGATGATGTGGAGCGTGACAATATGGTCCACATAAGATCTTCTGGCACGGAATCCTGCCTGCTGCCCCCGGAGAGTCGCGGCGATCTTCTCCTGTATTCGATTCAGGATAACTTTGCACAGAACTTTAATAACAACGCACAGTAACATGGTGCCTCCGCAACATGGTATCTCCCGTAACATGATATATTCGTCACGGTAAACCCGCGTGACTTTGTGCATTGGTCGATGAGGAAAAAGCGAGCCCCATTAACCAATTGCCACAAAATTCTGCGAACAGCTCACCATTTTCGCTCATTTTTCCGAGTCCATGGCGTCCCATGACGCGCTCATAATTCCTGTTATCGGAGCCAATCTTCACATTGTCGCCAGTGTAGATCTTGAAGTCACTCTTTGGCACTTTATTCAAGACGGCATTCAGTTGAGTTTAAAAATTCTAGTTGTCCTGTAGGTCAGCAGCATCGGTTGGCGCATAACATTAGATTATTGTAAGGCACCCATTTTCTGGTAACGATTATTCTCTTATTAATAGGCTCCCACTTGATGGGCGCAACCTGTTCCTGGGCGGAAACCAATTCCTCAATGCTGGTACTGCTGTACTGCTACCCGACGGTAGTTTGTGATCTCCAAAGGTTCGGCCAACGGACTTCTTTCTGTCCCAGAGTATCGAGCTTTATGCATCGCTGGAAAAATGTGCTTACCCTGCTGAGCTAATGTTAGCAAATTTTATGTTTCCATTATTGTCCTTTATTTTGCGCTAAAAGTCGTTGCTGTTAAATCAGTTCGTAATGTTTCTCTGTTGGTTTCTGTAACAATTCATACATTTCGGAGACAGTAGGTGGTTGGCCTGAAGTCTTCTATC